AGAGTGACGACCAGGACATCATTGTGAGGGCAATATATCCGTTCCAAGTGTTTATCTGGAAAGGACATGACGTTTGTGGCTTCTGTCTTCCCCTTCTTGATGGCAGGCTGGGCACTTAGTACTTCTCTTAAGTGTTCAGCCTTTTTGATTGATCCCATGAGCTCGCATACACGCTCAGGTTCAAAGACTCCATGTATCACATTGATAATGCCTTGAGGTGGGGGGTCGATTGGCATCCCGTTGGGGTTATCATGGTCCTGGGGGGCTGGTTGCGTCCCTCCTTCAATGTATTTATCCAAGTGACCTACTGCTACCAACTCCTCCAAGTGCTGTCTCAACGGTGTGCAATTCTCAGTACGGTGCCCCTTTTCTTTGTGGAAGGTGCACCGCGATCTTTCGTCGTAGTCTTTCTGTGCTTCTCCTAGCTTAGCTGGCCACTTGACGAAAGATTCATCGCGTATTTTGCTCAGAATCCGGTAGATCGGTTTTGAGACCGTAGTTATGAGCAGGTGCGATGTCTACTTTATGTCCGGGTAGCTTGCTCCGTTAGCTTGATGCTGCGCACGTCGTGCTTACTGTTGGAGATGGGTATAAGTAGCCGATCTGAATACGCGTTGAATCGTTGTTGCCGAGGTCCTTCTTTTTCTGACCTGTGGTCGCGCCAGGAATTTGTCTTTGCAAGCGTGCGCACATCCTCTTCTACCCGTGTCTGATGGCGATGCATCTCTTCCACAAAGGCTATGATGGTTGGAGCGTGGTGTGTCATGGTGATTGAGTCCCTTAGTCTGTTCCCAATTGGAAGGCCTCTCTTGTATTGTGCAATGGCGAGATTGGTGGGGCAGTCCCCAATCTGGTTGAAGGTCTCCCAGTAGCGACTATTGTAGGATCTTAGGGTCTCTTTGTCACCCATGTCGATGGAGAGCAGCTGGTCGATCTCCACTGGGGTTTTAGTGTTTGTTCGGAACCTTGTTACGAATGCCTCTGCCAACTGCGCCCAGGAAGCTATGCTGCCTTCTGGAAGTTTTTCGAACCAAGTCAGGCCTAGGTCGCCCAGGCTAGATGGGAAGAGGATACACATTAAAGCCTCGTTTCGCCGGTATATCGCCATGACCTGGCGAAAGTGGCTTAAGTGTGAGTAAGGGTCCGTCTTCCCTTCATACGTAGTAAATTTGGGCTGAACGAAGCCTGATGGTAGAGGTGCGTTTTCAATCGCCGGAACGAAATGTGAGGTCTGCAGCCTCGCTAGTGCCTTGTCCGTTGGTTCGTAGGCAAGGCGTGGTATTGGCATTCCAACCTCGACGCTTCCATGCGTCCGAGGAGCCAACCGCTGTAAGGCAGAAACTCTGTGTGGATCACGTGCCCTGGCATCTTCCTTGCATCATGCCTTTTCTTCGAGCACGGTTCGTAAGTCGGATGATCTGGGCAACTCCGTCTGTCTGGATCTAGTTTGGTACGTATGTGAGGGCCAATACATGCTTCCCTCAGTGTACGATCTCTCAGATCTCGTCCTCTCAGACCTGGAGTGACGAGTTCTAGAAGACCTAGATTGAGTATCGCCTGTCCTGAGGCTTCTGCTCTCTGCTTGCGAGGGTGTGATATTCCTACTACGATTTTTTGAGTAGCGAGGGGGCGTCTTGTTTTTGCGCCCCTCTTCTGTCGCCACCTCTTTTCCCTTCATCTGGCGCTTCAAGGCCTCCATGTCCGCCGCCATCTTCCTTATTAATTCATCTTGCTCCTTCACGCGGTCCTCCAGAGCTTGAGGATCAATCCTCCGCCTTTGCCTGTCGGGACTTTGTGAACGAGAGTGACGGGGGCTGTTAGTCCGCCTCCCCCTAGTATCCCTTCTGGTGTTATGTCGTTGGGGCTCCAAATCTGCCATGGGAGGGATAGAAGGTAGTCCTTCACGCCTTGCACCCCTATCTGGTGTTTGCCCGTCGATGGCGGATTGCGGTAAATCTTCATTATGCGCCATTGTTTCTAAAGAGGAGAAGCTTAATCAAGAGGTTTTGTTCTTGTCTGTAATTCCCACAGACGGCCCCAATTGTACGGGAAAGAAATAAACCTTCTCGTATAATCATGTTGATCAAGTCTGCGCTCCTCCGTACGTCGTCGCTTTATCACCTGAAAATACAAACGTGAGCTAGCCGGCGGGTGTGTGCCGGAAACCTCTCTGATGCCTAAGTCAGCACAATAGACAAATAAACAAAAGCTCTGTGTATTCAGGAAGCAAAATTGTGTTACCTCTCCATAGGTGATGTTTGTGAGCTTTATAGGTTTCGTGTGGCATAATCCTAGTAGGACTCTTACTCCTCCATGTAGAGTCCTCCTAGGATTCTTACTCCTGAAAGACAATGCTTATCCTTCAACACCCCCTCACTGCTTAAACCAAGTGAGATGGTTTTACCATGGCCGAACTACCATACGACCGAAATAAACATGACTCTGCTTAGCCGTAGAATTGGTTGAACTATACTTAATTCGGTTCTTCCCTCTACAACTCTTACTTCGGCTTCTCATGTATAACCCATGGCGTGATTAGACCAAACTAACATGTTACGACCGGTGTAACTCTAAGACTGGTCTAACTCCGAAGTACCGTTAGACCGATCTTAGTTCGATCTTCCGTCGGACCGGACTAGCTTCACGGCCTTAGGACCGGACTAACTTGAAAATATCCACACGACCGGAGTAACTTACATGGCCATTTTACTCGGCCCTTTGTACTGCGGCTCATAACGGCCTATTACCAGCTCGGCCCAATTTTCATATAAATTACCCTCTCAATATATATATAACTACTAATTGTATGGTGCTCAAAAACTACTAATTTGTAATAAATTTCACATATTAAGTATCTTTCACACTCATTTTTACTTTGATATTTCATTATAAGTTAAAAAATATATATGTATTAACTATAACAAAACGGAACGGTTTCAAAAGGGGATTATAAATTTTAAAGTTTAAACTGTGATTAACGGTGCGAATTAATACAAATCAGTACGATTTTAATGAATTAGGTGACATTTTACACAACCCTAACTCCAACTAAAAATTAGACTGCAAAATATTGGAGGATTAGGGAAGGTGATTTGGCTGGGTCAGCAAAATTTATATTGAGAAATTTTCATTTTGGAAGTTAAAAAAAAATAATTACAAATAAGTGATAAACTCAAAAAAAAAAAGGTGCGATCAACTTCACAAATATTAATAATTAAAATCATGAAAAAACTCTACTCTAATATTTTGGAAGTGGATTACACCCCCATTATTAACCACAGTATGCACAAAAACCCGAAAGGACAATCGGGGTGCTTGGGGAGCCTAACTTTAAGGCTAAAATAGCCTTAAAAAAAAAAAAAAAAAAAAGTCTAGAAACTTCTAAACTAATGGTTTAAAAAAAATAAAAAATAAAATAAATAGGCCGGTAGTGGGTTGTCACTGTGACAGTACCACTGTCACAATGACAGGTTGGTAAATTACAATTTTGCTCCTTTAGATTAAGTTGAAAAAATGTAAGGTTAGGGACAAATTTCTCATTTTAACTTCAAACATCATTTCAACACATTTTTCAATACACCAACTCAATTAAAAATCTATCTCATCTTCCCAAATACAAAAACTAAAATACCCTATTAAAATGAGTTCGGATCGTCGGCCGCACTACCCTACAGCCCTCCCTGCCGCACACTGACAAATTTCTCATTTTAACTTCAAACATCATTTCAACACATTTTTCAATACACCAACTCAATTAAAAATCTATCTCATCTTCCCAAATACAAAAACTAAAATACCCTATTAAAATGAGTTCGGATCGTCGGCCGCACTACCCTACGGCCCTCCCTGCCGCACACCCCAAACGACGTCGTTTTAGTTTTAGTTTTTTTTTTTTTTTTTTTTTTCCCTTTTTTTCACTCATCCTTCTTACTTTGCTTTTTCAGCCCCTGTTTAATTGATTGGCTTTTCTCCTCATCATCTTCAAAATCTTTGATTGCTCTTTAAAATCTTCAAAATCAAAGATTTTGAAGAGAGACAGCCCTTGTTTCATATACATTTAATGATGATCATCTTCAAAATCTTTGATTTTGAAGAGAGACAGCCCCTGTTTAATGATCATCTTCAGCCCCTGTTTAATTGATTTGATTTTGATTGCTTTTTTAGCCACTTAGAAGGAAAAAATTAGAAGTAGAGGCAAGAGTGCAGAGAGAAGAATGAAGGAAGAAGCATCACCGAAAAATTATTAGAAGGAAAGGGCAACCAAATTGACAACTCGATTGGACTCAAACAACCAGGTTAGAGGGAAAATTATTTCATTTGATTTGAGATTTTATTAGATATGTGGGTCTTTATGTGATTTGTGGTAGATTTGAGATCGCATCTATATTGAATCTATATTTGAAAAGCTTGTAGGTTTGCAATTTTTCATTTTGGGTTTGAATCTGGGTTTATTTTGTAGTGGGTGTGATTTTGTAGTTTTTAGAAAGAGAAAAAAAAGGAAGAAGAAGGAGATAGAGAAGAAGAGACAATGGGTTTGATAGTTCTTATACATAGAAAGGAAGAAGGAGATGGAGAAGAAGAGGTGGTGGGTTTGATTTGCAGATTTGAGATTGCATCTATATTAAATCTATATTTGAGAAGCTTGTAGGGTTACAATTTTTCTTTTTGAGTTTGAATCTTGATTTATTTGGTAGTGGGTGGGATTTGGTAGTTTTTAGAGAGAAAAAAGAGGAAGAACAAGGAGATGGAGAAGAATAGATAGTGGGTTTGGTTGGTAGTTTCTACAGGTCGAAAGGAAGAAGGAGATAAAGAAGAGGCGGTGGGTTTGGTTCAAACGATAAGGGGCTGGAAAAAAAAAAAAGGGCATCGTTTGGAGTGTGCTGCAGGAATGTGCGGCAGGAAGGGCCGCAGGATAGTGCGACCGACGATCCGAACTCTATTAAAATAGCCAAAAAGCCAAAAAAATCTCTAAAATAGTCATTTCCCAAACACCCACAATATAAGGAAAAGTTTTTTTTTTTTTGTTAAAAAAAAAACCCGAGTGTAAACTACCCTTAAACTATATTAGCCTGATTACATGATCACTTGAAACTGTAAGAGACTTCCATTTTCTTTACATTGGCCTTTGGTGAGCCGCAAAACAAAATCAGAGAAGCTGACAAAACCGAGTCCTTCATGATTTCATGACTGTAGAGGGACCGGGAAAGAGAACGGTGAGGATCAGGAAGCAGCTTAACATAACGGAACTCATACTCAGGTAGTAGTGAGATGTCTATTTCCTCTTTCTGCCACGAGGTTTACTTGGAGGTACATATTTTGAAGTGCCAGTACGATTCTCTACAGCATCCTTGCTTTTTTCATTATCACTTTCTCCATCAAAAGTCTCTGTTTTGTCTGTGAATTCTTCTTCCTCCTCTTCTTGAGGCAATTTCCCAGTTTTTTCCTGTTTTGAAAGCTGGTCTCGAAGATCTCTAAGTTTTGCTTTCTTTGAATTCAAGACCCCAAGAAACTGGAACAAGAAATAGGCCATGTAATCAAAAAAATGTAAGAAACAAACAACTATTTTAAGTAAAAAATATACATCACGAACTCATTGAATCCATAAAACACAAAGCACTCAAAACAAGGAGCACGAGGATGATGCTCCAAAATCCAATAGGAAGAGAGAACAAGAATGCAAGGCAAAGATCTCAAAAATTGACTCCATGGCCTTGCTCCCTAATGCAGCCTCATCCGGTTATGAGATTTCACATCATCTTCTCATTGTAGTTATAATAGCATATGCTATTAGACAATTCTTACCTAAGATGAAATTAGAATGCAACATGTCTCTGTGAAATATAGATTGTAAACAAATAACATTTGGACAGAATCTGACACAAGGATACACAATATATATTGGAAAAGTGGTTGCTGAAAAAATTGCTCAAATCTTGGAATTCCCTATCATTGGTTAAGGCGCTGTTTGGGGACTTACCTTTTTAGTCAAAAAGTCAAAAAGTTACCTTTTTAGCCAAAAAGCCAACAACTCATACCAAAAAGTCAAAGATTCTCTTTTCTCTCTACTTTTTGCACATCTTTTCGTAATTAGCCAAAAAGTCATCCCAAACATATAAGATTTTTTTAATACTTTTTTAGCTAAATAGCCAAAAAGTTACTAAATTAGCCTGTTCCCAAACGAGGCCTTATGGTGTGTTTGATTGGGGGATTTGGGGAGGGATTTGGAAAAGGAAAGGGAAAAGGTGTGTGAAACTATTTAAAATATATACATATTTTATTCACATTTCACCTACCATTTTCATTTCCCTTTCCAAATCCCTCCCCAAATCCCCAACCAAACACAGCATTACTAAGAATGAGAATGCAACCTAGACTGTCTCCTGTCAAAAAGTAAGAGCAACATCACAAGTAATGAACTAATTGAACACAAGGAGCAAAATTCGCCAAGATATAGTGGCTCAACTAGGATACATTAAGAGTGACAACTTATATCCAAGATCCATTTACAAAAGCACATGTAACGTAAGAAAAAAACATCGTTAATTGGTATACGGCACACACCTTAGCATAAATAGCAGCTTCAAATTCTGCTTTCTCATTGCTGAATTTCTCACTTTGTGCTAAGCACTTCTCAGCTTCTACTTTTAGCCTCTCAAACGATTGGGTTTTCTTGACAACTTCATCCTATTCATATCAGACACAAGTAATCAGCTCACATGCGATTCAGCACCATATTAACTCAAAACAAGAAAGACATTTAAATGTAAAATCAAGAAGAAACTTCATATAACTATTTCAAAAGTTTCACTGAACAAGTTTCAACATCTACTAATAAATAGGATTCGAATTGCAGAAAGTATAGGGCATTACAGTTATGAGTTTACTTTATAGTCTTAAAATTATAGAAGTACAGTACAAGACAATATATACACATACATAATCAATTGATTTCTCAATTGTTGGATAAATAAGACTGCTTAATTATTGAAGGGGACTCTCATATGCACAAACAAATTCAAACATGTTATTGATTAGGGATGTAAATCTGGCCCAGCCCACCCGGGTCCGGGCCAGGCTGGGCCCATGCCGGGCCTCGTGGACTTCCGTCAAAATTCGGGCCAGGCCGGGCCACAGGCCAAAAAAACAAGCCCAGTCCTAGGGGTATTCAGGCCTTGGACGGGCTAGTGGGTCGGGCCTCAGGCTTGGGCAGGCCTGACCATTTTTTATTTTTTTTTATTTTTTTCTACCAAAAGTTTATTATTTTCCAATAAAAAAAGACACTGGGCCTCTGGCGGGCCAAGCCTTAAGTGGGCCTTAAGCGGGCCGAGCTTCAAAATGACGGCCCAGGCCCTGGGGGCTCGAGACCGGTCCTAAACGGGCTGAGCCCACCCCAAACTTCGGGCCGCCCACGAGCCGCAGGCCATTTACAGTTATGAGTTTACTTTAAAGTTTTAAAACTATAGAAGTACAGTACAAGACAATATATACACATACATTAATCAATTGATTTCTCAATTGTTGGATAAATAAGACTGCTTAATTATTGAAGTGGAATCTCATATGCACAAACCAATTCAAACATGTTATTGATTTACATTTTTTATTGGTCTGCGAGTGCCCCTTGCAATGAAGTGGATTATGAGTATTCCTGAGCAATCAGCATTGGTGATTGGTTGAGCCAAGTACACCTGTTATGCTCCATAGGCACAAAGAAAAGATACATACTTCGGCACTTAGTTTTAGGAGACCTAACCACTCCCTCATCATAATCTCACTTAAAAACTCACACTTAACTTCCCCTTAACCAAGAATCATACATGTTCACAACCCTACATGCATTTCTTAGACGAGATTGAACTGAACTGTCACCAACTCGATGCTACAAGCCAGTACAACAAACATGTTCACAAAATTACATGCATTTCTAAAACAGGATGGAACTGAACTGTCACCAACTCAACACTCCCGGCCTGTAAACAGTTTAAAGGATTAGGGATAACAAAAGCCTGATTTATAGCTAAGCATAATTTATATATCATTTTGCAAAATTTATCCAAGACTTATAATTTTTGGAGTGTCAAATTGGAGAACGAATTACAACAAGTTATTGTAATAATTAGTGGTAAGGTCATTGAAAAGCAAGGATGTTGGATCCAAAAAGTCATAGCTGGTAAACAACTTTAATATTAATTTGCTTAGTTTCTCATGTTCCAACCAAAAGTTGGAATTAGAAAGTATTTTGTTGAACATAAAACTTAATGGACATTACAGGCAGAATGACAACTAAATTGACGGATGGAAAATATCTAGAATAAAAGTGGTAAAAAAAGAAGATGTTTAATGAATACAATGATGTAAAATTGGGAAACCTAAATTACCTTGCATAGGAGAACAAAACAATAATTGGTAATCTTACACTTAGTCGTATATTCGCATCCATAAGAGACGCAGTAGTAGTGTGTTATGTTATTTTCTTACTATCAGGTGACAGCTTACATTTCCATCGCCATTCTAACTTGGTTCCTTCCTTCTCAAATGTCCATGACAACTGCATAGCATTAAACAACATGTAAAACAATAATTCACAAAAAGGAAAGAAAGAAAGACAGGAAAAATAAAAGCCTCAAGATCTTCCAAAGTGATCAATCTTCACCCAACTCATGGATTTCTCAAAATTTGCATATCTCATTTGGCACTATCTAAAATTGCACACATAATGCCTTTTACAAAACTAATTTTGGTCTAATTAGTGTCTCATTCTCATATCTTCACATTTAAACCAGTGAAGTCCAATATACATGAACATATATTCCAATAATATACTATTAACCCTAATTTTACAAACATTAGATTCTGCATTTTCACCTTCAATTATGAGCATTAGAGTCAAAACTATATTCAATCAATAGAGTGAACAACAAAATAAGACTTCAATTATCAAATTCAAAACACAAATACCTACGTACACAGAGTTAGACAGTGGACTTATACAGGGGCCAAGGAGGTCACATGCCCCTCATTTTGTAATCTTTAATATTTTTATATTATAACAGGGTAAATTAAATTGACCTCTCCTGAGATTTAGAAAAACTAAAGTAAGCCTAAGAAGTTTGGCATAATGAGTCACCTTATAATTTTAACTCACGTAACATTAACCTCCCTTTTCATCAAAAAATTGTTAGTCATATGAATGAAAAAAATAATATTGTCATCTCTTTTACACTTAAATACATATTTCATCTTGTTTTTCACACCATTTACATTAATTCAAGTCTCTTTCATGTTACTAAGGAAGTTGGTGTAAATATACTTAGAACTACATATATTTTTCCTTATTTATCTTTTTGTCCTCACACCATTTACATTAATGGAAAAATAACAAATCAGTTGAAGGTTGAAAAAAAAAAAATCAGATTCATGGTAAAGTTTATAAACTTTAAAAGTCATATACTTTTCCATATGTACGTAATTATTTTTGAAAAGTTGTTCGGATTTGTAATTTCCCCTACATTAAGTCTGGTCCTTTAGTAGTGTTACTCAAAACAAAGTCGGTGTAATTATACTTAAACAATGAGATGTATTTTCTCCAAATCACACCATGTAATTTACCCTATTACTTATTTGTGCTAAAATTTATAATTGTTCTAAAGATAGGATTTTACAAATTATACTTATTTGTTCACATAACATTTATCTCCCTTTTCATAGAGAATTCATTAATCATATGAAAGAAAAATATTGATATTGTCATATCTTTTACACTAAAATATATATTTTACCTTCTTTATTTTTATGTCTTTCACACCATTTACATTAATTCTGATCCCCTCAGTCTTATAGTCGGTGTAATTATCTTTACATTGTGAGACTTGTTGTATTTTCTACATTGAGGTCCATGTAATTTACCATATTACTAATTGTACTAAAAATTATGAGTAGCAATATTTTAAAATTAGAAATTTTGTGCTAAAATTGAAAATTGTGATTTGTGCTAAAGATAGGAATTTTGATCAAGAATTTTCATATTTTATTTTTAAAATAAAAACTAATCGAGGTCAATTGTGTGCACATACACAAAACACAAATCATGATGAGTAAAAGAAACAGAGAACTGACTCTTCTATGCCCATTTCCGGCATCGGCGAACCCGTAAACCGAGCCGGGTTGTTGAAACCCTAGGTGACGCTCGGCCAATTCAATGTATTCGGGGACGGGTTGGTCCCACTGAGACGCCCTCTCTCTCACCTCATCCTCAGTTGCTGCAAAAAAAATTCAAAAATCACTGTAATCAAAGCTAAATTACAGCAAAACTGAGTATGAATTTGAATGAAGCGAGTGAAGTGTATGTTTAGGTTTATTGATACCGTTGAGAGTCCAGGCATCGAGACCGTCGGTGATGGAGAGGTCGAAGCGAGAGGAGAACCATGTGGCCTTGACGAAGATGGGTTCGGTCTGGTCTGGTTGGGATTTGTTGGGGAGTTGAAGTTTGAGGCATGTGTGCTTGGTTGAGTCCATGAATAGGGATTGTTTGTTTGTGTGTCAGTAAACTGGAAGAGAAAAATGGATGTGGTGTGTGTGTGTTCTTGCTGAGAAATGTATTTGTAAATTGCAGTGGACGCAGTAGTAGTGTGTTATTGAAGCTTTGTAATCTCTGAGAGAGAGAGAGAGAGAGAGAGAGAGAGACTTCTCACGGAATAAAACCTTCCGTTTGGGAGGGTGAGTTCAATTTTTGTTTTTTTATTTTTATTATTTTGATTTGTTTTGAGAGTATAGTAAAAAAATATTTTTTTTATTTTTTTGTCCATCTTTTAAAAAAAAATTTAAAAAATCAGCTTTTAATTTACTTCCCAAAACAAAGCAGTTCAAGCTAAAAAATTCATTTGGATTGATTTTTTTTAACTTTTGTAAGAGAAAAAATAAAATAATTATGATTTAAATGTGACATTTTATCTTAACTTTTTAATCTATTGTGTCATGAGGACTAGAGCAAAAAATCCAATTTTATATTTTTTATGCCCAAAGGTCCGCACGCATCTTTATCATACCCATAAGGACAAGCTTTTGTGAAATGATAAAAATACCCACGAATATATACATGATTCTCAAATCAAACCTACGCAAATCATTTTCTCACCTACTCTCTTCCCTTATCTTCTTCTCTTTCATGGAAATTAGTATCAGAGACAACCTTCTCCAATCGATCTCCGTCAGTGTTGGGGTGGTAGTAGTGGTTTAGTGGGTACTGGGTTCACTTGAGTTGACTTAGGATGACAAATTGCCTCTTTGGTCACCGATGGCATTGGTGGAGGTGGAAGCGGATCGGCCCCCTGCCACTATCGCTTCCACCACCGCATATCTCCTCTTTTCGATCTCTACTCTCGCTTGAGAGAAAGAGAGAATGGCGAACCTGGATCTAGAATTACAAAGCTGGAGCTTCTTCTCATGGTGCTCTTAGCAACCATCACGATGAAGCTCGACATTCCTTTGATCTGCTCTATCGTTTTTACTTGCAAGACCTTCAATGCTCTCTCTCTTTCTCTCCCTTCATTTTTTTTCTCTCTCTCTCTCTTCTCAATTTCTAGGGTTTTATGCAAAAAAAAATATCTTGTTCTCTCTTTCTCTCTCTCTCTCTCTCTCTCTCTCTATATATATATATATATATATTTGATGTTGTGTTTGTTTAATCAGTGCAGATGCTATCCAAATCCAGATCTAGATACACTGTTGAACAGATCAGTTATTCTTCATTTGATCTTTCTCTCTTGATTTGATTTTTGATTTTTATGTAGGGTTAGATTTAGGGATTATTTGGCGTGTTGTAAATAAGTGCACTTTTTTGTCTTTTTGAATTAAAAAGTTGAGAAAAAAAATATAGATGTTTGGGTTAACTTTTTGTTTTTTTACGAAAAAATGTGTAATAAAAAATTGTATAAATAAAGTGTATAGTGGAAGAAAGTGGAGTGGTTGTACGGCTGCCTTGCTGCCTCAGCATGTCTGACACAGAAAATAATTATAGCGATCCCGGTTGTCCCTTTACTATTCTGTTGTGTTCCGAACTCGGTTCCGTGAAGTTGGTAGTTGTGTCTACCTTGTTGTCATCCTTTAATTCCACTTCATTGAGTTTTAGGATGTTTTAGGCAGAGTTGTTACAGGTTGGTTAAGCTTTGGTTTCAATTCTTTGTTGCCCAATTTTTTTTGGCGGTCTGCTCGAGCGGGTCTTCTTACACTCGAGCGGGGATTGCACACCTCCAGTATTTCGTGTTCCTGCAAAACTTCTGCAGATGTGATTTTTACGCTCGAGTGGGTTTGGTGGCATTCGAGCGGGTAGTACTTTCTGGGTATAAGTTCTAGGAGGGGGAAATCTACGCTCGAGCGGACTGGTTTTCGCGCTCGAGCGGAAGTGCTTTATTCTTGTGTCTTGGCGCTCGAGCAGGCCTTATTGCGCTCGAGCGTGTGCAGATTTTTATTCTTGGAGCTCAAGCGTTGTGTTCCCCGCTTGAGCGGATCATACGTATATGAGTTGTCCGCTGGGTGATTTTAAATCACTTTTTGCCTTTCTTTCTCTCTCCTACTTTTTCTAAAAACCATTTTTGAGAGCCTCTCTCTCTAGAAACTCCCTTCTCTCTAGGGTTTGATCTAGTTAGAGTGTCCTCATTTTCTTCGGCCTTTGTAAAAGTTGTGTTGATCGTCGAGGGCGTCGTTTTGATCCGAAAATCTTGGTCTTTAGAGCACTTTGGTTTTGGTCTCTTCTCCATTCGAGCTCTAACTTCGAGGTAGGGATAACCTACTCCTCACTATAGGCTTTGTCTTTAAATTTTAGCATTTTGAGATGTTGGGGTTGGTTTGGTAATTTTGTGAAAGTTTGGGACTTTTGTGTAAATTTACAAAAGTTGGGGTTTTAGCTATATAAAACCTAGATGCATGTTTGGCATGGAAAAGTGAAATTAATGTTAAAACATTAAAGAAAATGGAACCTAAGGGTTGTAATGTTAATTATGGAATATGCCCTAATTACATTGGTTAATTAATTTGTATAATTAATTATGAGAAATGAGGAATTGATTTTGAAAGACATGGGATTAAAGGGTGTAGTTGGATTATTTATCGCTCACCTGGTGAAATGTTGATTATATATCCATTGTTGCATTTATTTTCTGTATGGAAATAACTGCTTTGGGCTATCGGTGGAGGATAGTCTTGATTGTTGTAGACAATGCATGATGATTAGGCAAACTGAAACTAATCACTGGAATGTGTCATTGAGTGTGACAGTTGAAAGAATACATTAAATTTATGTATTGTGTGATGATGTGTATAATTACTGTTTATATGCATTGTGTTGTGTTGGAGGAGATACGGGATGTACTCCACGGTTTAGGGGAAGATAGGGGATGGACCTCTAAACCGGATGTTGTTGGGAGGAGATAGGGGATGGACTCCATAGATAGAGCTCATATGCTTATCTAGTGATGTGTTGACAGAGCTCATATGCTTGTCTTTGGAAGTGTGATAGTGCTTTTAGGCATATCTATGGAAGTGATGATATAGCTTGTACGCTTATCTGTTGATGTGTGATATAGCTAGTATGCTTATCTTTTATGAAATGAGAAAAGGCTTAATATGAGTTATTGTCTCATATAAGTTGTTTGGCCAGGTTCTGAGCCATGGTTATAAATTGAGAATTGAAAAGAATTGGAAATGGATTGTAACATGGACTTATATGTCATGAAACCGCAAAGTGTGATAAGGGAAAGTATCAGTGTTGCCCATCTATCAACTGCTAATCTTTTAATCATTGTTCATATTTGGTTTAGTATATCTCTATTGGGCTGTGGCTCACCCTATATGGGAATATCATTTTCAGGTACAGGTAGCATGCCACCTCCAAGGACTTAGCTTGGGAGGCTAGAGGCGGACACACTTTTGTTGTCTTATTTCTTTTGATGTATTACATGTAAATTCAAGCCAAGGACTTAATATGTAATTGAGTTAGTGCTCTCTTTTGTAACCAAGTGTTAACTTGGAAAGCTGTAAGCCCGTAGGGCATTTGCTTTTGTTGTTAACATGTAATACTTTTGTAATGAAGTACTCTAATGAATAGAAGAATGTGAAGCTTTTGTATATCAATGCATGTCTATATTAATGGGTTTAATGTTGTTATTTTGAGGGCGTTACAATAATTGCTTCATTCGGGGTAAAGTGTTTGGACAGTGATGGTCGGTCCGTAAGGGCCACCATGGGTCCCATTTTAATATTCTGAACCGGTCAATATGTACAAATCGTCGAGTATTATATGGTTGTAAAAAATTATGTTGATCGGATATCGATAGCTGTATGATTGGATTAGTTTTTTTTCAACAGTTAACTATCACACCATCTGTTTTGTTTATACAAAACTGATTTGATCATATAGTTAACGATATCCGATCAACGTAATTTTTTACAGACATATATTACTCGACGAGTTCTATATATTGACGGTTCAGATTATCAAAACGGAACCCTTAGTGGGCCCCCAAGGGCCCAACATTACCATTAAACTTTATGGCTTTACATATGTAATTTTTTTTTTGTCCAAAAAGTGTATAATGGCCTACAAGTCTCACAAGTACAGTTGACAGTATCTAAGTGCACTTTTGTATTATAAAATATATAAAATATTTTTTTAATCTTTTTTATTTGTGAATAGTAATGACTTTTTTACTTTTTATGCAACTTTTTGACTTTTTGGATTATTTTGGACTTGCCAAACCAGCCTTTATTATTGTTGTTGTTGATGACGATGATTATTGTAATATTTTTATTTTTATTTTTTTGTAATTTTTGTTGTTGATTGTTCTTGTTGATTCTTGTTTATTATTGTTGAGAAACATATTACAACAGATTAAAAAAAAAATCTGTGGTGTATATGAATATGTGATGCAACAGATAAAAAAATGATGACGTTGAGAAACATATTGTAACAGATGAAAAAGAGATTTGTTCAAATTTGAACACATAGTGCCTTCGTTCAATAACAAAAATCTGAATAGATAATACAACTTGAGCAGATAAGGAATTTTAACATATAGATATTCCAAAATATAGAGAAGTTAAAAATGAAAATTTCAATAGATATAGAAAAGAGAGATAAAATAGAGGTGTAAAAATTTAACAGATCAACAGATAGTCAAAAATATTGAACAGATAAATAAAATTTAGGAAAAAATTGAACAGATAGATATAATTTAAGGAAAAAAATTGAACAGATAGATATAATTTAGGGAAAAAATTTGAACAGCTAGATATAATTTAGGGAAAAAATTTGAACAACTGGATATAAATTTGAACAAATAGATAAAAAATTTGAACATATAGAAAAAATTTAAACAGATAGATATAAATTTGAATAGATAGTCAACAAAAAGTCAAATAGATAAAAAAAAAGTCAAAGGGTAAAATTAGAAATAAAATATTCTTCAGGATTTCTCACCAAACAATTTCACAAAATGTGAACGTCTCATCAACAAAAAATATCATCTGGACCTAATGCCTTATACCTTCCTTAAATTAGATTTATCACCAATTAATCATTTTATCTTTTTGTGACTAAGGCCTCGTTTGGGGAGTGACTATTTTAGCTAAAAAGTCAAAAAGTTATTAAAAATTGTCACATCACCTCTCTACTTTTCTGTACATCTTTTCATAAAAATTCAAA